CCGGCCCCGCGCGGAGCTCGCCGTTTGTCGCCCGGTGACCGTCCGCGACGTGTCGGGCCATGGCGAGCCGAAGAGGCTGCGGGGCACAACTCCCCCAGCGCGAGAGAAGGAGGCCTTCAGGAGCTTGTTTGCACTCCGAGATCGCGGATACCCCAGATATTTATGACTAGTTGAATGTGCCCAATAACCCTCGTTATGAAAAATATTCACTGCTAGAATATAATAACTTGAGCCACTCCAGTTTGTGGATCCTTCCACAAACCAAGGCCTCTCGCATCTCTCATTTCCAAGAAGACCATAAGAAAACCAGGCCAGGAAGGTCTCTGAACTTTAGGAGAAGCTTCAGAAAGTCTCCAGGAAAGACAAAGAGTGCACAGGGAGACTGTTCACAATGTCTAAATATTTATCCAGGAGATGCGTAGTGAGGAAGAACTAATTAGTATTAAAGATGTCAAATATCACACTTCTAATTATGTTAGCAAAGGTAGCACAACGGAAGGTAGATCTGAATGCACATCTGAGATCATGAGACTCGCCGCCTCATCCGTGACTCTGAATTATTACATCACTCTGCTCATTCCCATCAGGTGCTGTTTTCTGACAGAGCGATTTGCCTCTTACAGGTGTAGTGCAGTTAAGATTATCCTTGCTAAAACTGGATTTTTCTGTTTACAGCCAAACTTTGCTGGGTTTATGCATTCCATTCTTACAATAATTAAGGCCTTTTATCATCTTTCTGTTGGGATTGCTCTGAGTAGTTAAAGACATTTGCATGTCACACAGGAGAACAAAGTGTCTCTTGTAGAAATGCATATGAAATAGCCACAAGACCCCTCCAGAAACCATACAGAATGCAAGCTAATTTGGCATCTGTGGGAAGTATCCAAAGTCTGTCCTAAAATCAGACCTTGGAAACAATGGAAGTTCACGTTTGAATTCAGATTAGGATCCTACAGCACCATTAGTGGCTCTGTATAGTATTTATCTTGATAAAATCATTTTTCCCTTCCTCTGTACAGTTGCGAGATGTTTCCAAGCCCCGTCTGTGCTGGGAGCTTTGCCTCCAGGAGCAGCTGTGGATCACTGCTCACCAGATACCACGGACCCCGCGTGGGACAGCACTGGCTCACCTTTGCTCAAGCAATGCTGCAGATATCCTTATCCACAGCTGTGTACCGTACTATCCTCAGACATTTTCATACCAGATTAATTCCCTATCACTGAATTGGTTACAGACTTTTTGCAGTTAAGAAAGGTCATGAATTTGTACACTCTATATGACACTGATAATTATCAAAAAGATTTTAGGTATTTAACAGAATTAAAATACAGTATTTCATGTTACAGAATTGCCTCAGTGGATGGAACCAATAATACCAACAGCATGCTGAAAAAGTATGGCATGGCCTCCAGTTCACAGGGTATCTCTGATTTTCTTCTAATGGATATACAAACACAAGAAGACATCCAAACCTTGCTACCAAAACACAAGGAGAGTAACAGAATGTAAACATAAAGCTGCTAATGTACACACTGACACATGAATGACATTTACATTGTTCAGAATAAAATCAAGGATACTTTCAAATAATGAGCCACAGAAAAATTGCTGGAGCAAAATTGTCTTCAGAATGAAACACAGGCTCATTTGAAATGAGAGTTTTTTCATTAAAAAAAATGGTGCAGCTAATAATAAAGTCTTTTAACCTGTATTTTGTTATAGGTGACAGGTGAACAAATCACAGGTCTTGAGTTTCTCTACCCTGCCTCTCTTGGTAACGTCATCTCCAGTACCATCTGCTACCTACCAGACAAACAGACCAACCACATAATGAGGTACCAGCTTCCACCCAGCTACCGTGACTAAATCAGAACAAAAGATTCAACGCCTCCTTCAACAAAGGAACACAAGTCTAAGCTGTCTTTGCTAATTGCTGGGTTTCAGGTTGTCTGTTACAGATTTTAAGTGAGCTACAAACTTCCATCAAATACTTATAGCTGTTGGATAAAGATACTAAGAATAAAAAGATAAATGGAAGCAAAAGGTAAGAGAGAAGAGAAGAAAGCTTAGAAAATAAGTAACTACTTATGGTAATTTAAAGACTGTGGAATAATATAAACATGAAAGACCAGGGGGCAGAGTGATTGATATCTCATATGTTTTCGATACCCCTACGGTTATTAGACTGCAATATATGGGAACATACAATAAACTATGAATTAAAATGTAATTGTAGCTTCAGGCATCTTCTTCATTGTCTGCTGTGGTGTTATGTCTTCATGCACCGTGATTGACAAGGTGTAATTAATCATCTTACTCAGTTGTAAATATGGGCACCCTTCACAGTAGGCATCAGGAAGTGTGTACCAGCAAAGGAAGCAATAGTTGACGCTGAGATACCATTAAATCAAAATCAGAATGCGTATATGTTCAGAAATGTGTGTTTGGTGTGATGCTGTTATCGTTTATTTCTAAAATACTGTACCAACAGATTTACTTGATTTGCAAGTTAACTACAACATTAACTGGTTTTATTTATTTTGTCTCTTCTTCATTTTTATAGGCAATGATGTTGTTCTCCTAAAATGTGAGCCAGTTTGCTTCCTGTCAGCAAGTGGAGCTCAGCTCAGCTCTTCCTCTCCCCGAGTTGCTGCAGACAGACCAGCAGCTCCGTGGACTGACTTGAAATGGTTCGGGCAAATTATTACTCCATTCATGGATCACCTTCTGCACTTCTTATATACTGAGTTAGACACTTTGGTCATTTTAAAGTGAAGGAGAATAATGAAATTATCTTCACAAGGAACACTCTTCCATTTAAAAATAGGACATTTCTTGTCACCAATGCTGTCCCCAAATTGTAAATGAACGTATTTTAAAATATTTTTTTCAGTATTCCAGGGTAGGAAATATGTTATATCTGTTTCTTTTTGCAAATGATTGCTATCCTTATCTAGTTAGTACAGAAATGGTGTCTGAGTCATGGGAAATTTAAGTGGTTTGTCTCAGGAAAATTTGGTGGTATGCATGTTCATGATGCACATAGAGCTACTGAATGAATAATTGGCCCCTATTTAATGTCCTCTGCTTTAAAGCTGTCTAATACATTTGCTGTTTAAAAAAATGTCTTTCAAAGCTGTTAAATATGTAACAAAAAGAGGTTGCTCTCCCCATTCTGACATGAACAAAGCCATACAGTGAGCTGCCCGAGGTACTTCCAGCATGGGATTAATTACAAACACAATCATAAATGGAAATTTTCAAAGTTTTCCAATTCTTTTTCTTTGCAATACCAGCTGATGAGTATTTGATAAAAGAATGCAGTAAAAATATTAGTCCAGGAATTAGCTATTAAATATTAAGCTAAGCATTTTTCAGAGTATGGGATCTGTTGGATCCCATAATTCCACCATTTACCCCTGATGGAGTGAGATCTCTGGCTGTCTTCAGAAGCAAACCGAGCTTAAAACAGGAGCGCACTCTCAAGAAGATGATCGACTAAGAATGTGTTTTATTTTGATTTGAAAAACTGTCAATCACAAACAAAAAAGACCAAATACTGTTATTATATATACTAGCTAACTATATTTGTCTGGTAAACCAGGCATATGCAGGAAAGAGAAATAATACAGTTTAAAAGGAAAATATTCCAAAGGTTTTGCCCAGATGTTGTGCTGGAATTGTTGTTCCCTGGTACAAGCAATTGATTTCAGATGAAAACACAAGCACGTATCTATAGATGTGAGAGAGAAATAAGATGTCCAATGTCTCACATATTTCAGTTTATATAGCCACAGCTATTTAAACAATTCCAAAACTGCCTCTACGGGTGTCAAAGAGGGAGGGAAATCTTCAACCACATGATCTTCTCTCCAGAGTCCTGTTAAATCCACTGAACTTAAAACAGAACAAGAAGTGTGAAATATGGGTTTGAACATGTTATGTCAGAAATGTAAAGGTTGGAAGCCTTTTTAGTAACCGATATTAATATTGTATTAAATGTTATGAAAAGGTAGGTGTTGGAGAGAAGGGCTGGGCTCATGTGCAATTTTGTCAAGGTTTTTATCTGTGATTATGATTCCAGATGTATCTATTCCCTGAGGAGAAAAATGAAGTAAAGTTGGCATGTGACATGTGTTTTAAGGTGTTTGGCACAGTTTCCCAAAGTGATGACAAAATGTTCATTTTTATTACAGTGAATTGGTAAAGAAAACATGATTCTGAAGGTCAGTAGCCGTATATTTAAGACAGCTTTGGAGTTTTATTTTAAGGAATATACAGTTCTGGTGATGTGCTTAGATCTGATTGCCTGACAAGCATCTACTATAATAAATAATGTAAATAGAATAACTTTTACCAAATATGAAATGGTAATTACTAGAAATTCAGTAAATTCATGCACAAAACATGGCAAAGACTGCAAAAATGTCTCTTTTTTGCATCTAGAAGTGTAGCTGCTTCTTATTAATTTTTTTTAAATCTGTTTACTGCAGACTAATCTTATTGCTCTACAGTTAGAGCTCAAAAAATTGTAACGAGGTCTTTTGTAGGAACATGTTTTTTAACGCAAATGGATGGATTTTTATTTTTGTAACAAACCAGGGGAGGTTATTTTTTTGGGGTGAAGACTCTTTTGCCCAAACACACAGAAGAGTTGAGCTGAGAGCTGCCGGTGGCCGCGCAGCTCCCCCCGTGCTGTCGCTGCAGCCCCTGCGTGTGCAGCAGCCCGGCAGCTCCACGCTGCCAGCGGGGTACCCCGGCCTGCAGCACCAGGCAAACACTCCCTCATAAACATTTTACAAGTTTAGCATCCACCAATCCGAGAGGTTTGGGAGCCTGCCCCGATTGGGTGTATCAGGGATTTGGTAAACACGGCTACATAAGAAAAACAAGGCTTGGGGAGAAAAGACTCCAATAGTATTGCCTCCTTTGAATATTCAGAGCCTAAGAGTATGATTAATTCCATACTTTATAAGTAAACTTCCCCAGCTCTGTATCCATCTGCAAATATTCAGAGTGATGTGCTCAATACATTCCTTTCTGTTCTACAACCACATTTCTTTGTGAATTTAACCACATCAGAAAGCACTTCAGATTTCTAACACAAATATTCGATGCATTTAATGTAAGGAAGCTTCCTTTATTGGAGGTGATTGGGAACATTTTGTATTTTATAGGTATATTTAAAAGGTTAGCAGTAGGGGGGACTCGTCTGTGGAAAATCTGTCTACAGCTGACGTTCTTAGATTCAGGAGTGTTGCTGAAATGCCTAATACATTTACATTCTTTTGTTAAGTAGCTTACAGGACTATCCTCTTAGCTACCAGATACCCTGATCTTTTTTTTTTTTTTTTTTAAGCCAAATGACATTTCTTCTCTTTCTTCTTATTTGTTATTTTCAGGAGTATATACTTGGTTTGAGGTTTTGTGTGCCATTAGAAGATTTTTGATTTTCATGGGCTTTTTTACTTTTTTAATTTACAATTTTGTTGTTCTTTCCAATAATCTTCTGCAACTTCACTTCATCTTTAGTGCACACAAAGAAGCCTCTCATTGGCTAGTGCATTACTGATAATGATTTACAAGTTTTCCCAGATTAATTTTCCATAGGGTAATTTTTTCCCCAATATAACGTAGTTCCAATTAAAAAAAAAAAAAAAGAATGCCAAAGGTTAAGACATTTTATAACACAATTTAGAAATTAATTTTTGAAGCCGTTGTGTTTGTATTTCAAATTTAGAATCTGTTTATATTTCAGTATCAGAAAAAAAAAATGTGTAGAGTTTAAAAATTAGCAGTCTGGTATTTTCCAGATATTGCAATGCGCCTGCCTAATGAAGGCAGAAGACTTGCTCAGTAGATTTATTTTAAAGCAGCGCTTTTAGATAGTCATAAATTAAAATGGCAGTTTTCAACTGGATACTTATTACTATTTTATTTGATATTTGCAAGATACCTGACCATTTAATATTTATCCTTTATTTCTCTGAGCTGATCTAATTGCACCTCTCTATTTTGCATTTATTTCTCTTTGCAAACACTACATTATTCACTCTCTCCTGTGCTTATTAAACAGTGCCACCTGCACCAAATGAAACAAAGCTTCTCCATCAATCTATCCCAGCTAAAGAACCCTGACTATATATTATAATTAATTGAAGCTCAATTGAACACTTGAGTCTGAACTAGATACAGTAACCTGAAAAAACATTAAAAAAATTAGGATGTACTTTAAAGAAATCTTTTAAATGAAAATGTTCACTCAAAACTGAGAAGCTAACCTTGCACCAAGCACTCTTCATCAGCTCTGCACAGTACCTCAAGTAGCAATTAGCAGGTCCTTTAATTAATTAACTATTCCCTGTACATCACAGGGATTTTTGTGGCACTAACGTCATCCTTCATAAGTGAATACCAAATGCAGTCAATATTTTGTCACTCCAAACCCTTCTCTGGACTACCTGAATGCCACCGGCTGGCTCTGCAGCACCATTTCCCAGCCCTGGAGCAGGTATGGACTGAGAGAAACTTTGTGCTCCAGCGGGGAGCGGGCACAGACGGAGCTGCCACGGACGGGGACACGCGGGGCACCTTGTGTGCAAATCCTGGCAGCAGCAAGAAGTCAGATAAGATGCAAATTGCAACAGTGGCAGTGAAATCTTATAAATGTACTTGTGTGAGATGAGTTTCTTTAAAAGCTGAATGTGCTGTGAACTTTGCAAGTGCTGGAGGCTCTGCTGCTGGGCTGCCTCTCGCTCCCACTGCCCGCTCCAGACAAGAGCAGATTAATTAAGTGGCAGGTCAGACACGAGAAGGTGAGAGGGCATTTCCCACCAATCCGGGACATTTTGCCCATTTTATACTTAGCAAACTTTTTATATAAGCGTGGCTGATTCTTTTCAATGTAATTATCATTTGGAAAATATTCAGTAATTTTAAGGGAATTACCACCTGAGGATGATGCACAAAATATCTATTGCCGATTTTAAGACTTCCAAAGATGCAGTATGTAAATTTGTTTATATAAATATGTATAAGATATATCACAGTGTGAGGCTGTGTGTGTGTGGATGAACATATGTGTGTGTAACCATCTATCTATTTGCAGATTCAGACACAGACATATGTTATAATTTCTTAGAGGCAAATATCTGTAGAAATAATTGTGTTCAGTAGTTTTCTTTAGTGTGCAGTAAGTTTCTCTTCAGAGATTTCTGTGTTCAGGAAAGATCTTATGAATTTATGTAATGTATAGTATTATGAAATCAAATAAAGTATGCCTTACATGATTTTGCAGGAATTATACATTAGCATTTTCTTTCAACATGTGTAATATTTTGAATTATGAATTATTATCTATAACTTTATAGATAATTTTAAAAATAAACAATATCTATTATGAACTTGTAAAAATACACACTGTAGAAATCTCAAGAAAGAAGAATTATTATTCAAATATTTTGAGATGTTAGCCAAATGACATTATAATTTAAAAAACCCACCACATTTAATTGAACACTTCATGAGGAGTAATATGTATTCAATTACTGAAAGATAGTAAAAGATAGAGACTTACTGATTCCAGAAAGATTTGCTATTTTCTAAGAGTAACAGAAATTTCCATTCTCACCTTATGGATTCATCTGCATCACTGTTATTGCAACTTCAGTAAAAAAAATTTTGGCATGAGAAAAATGTAAAGTAAAATGTAAAGGTCAACTGATGAGCTCTGATTGTATCTCTGTTTTTGCTGTGTAAATCTGCTCTTATCAATAATTCACCATTTGTGTTCTACAAAGACTCTGTCTTTACATTTTTAATTAGCACTTAAAATTTTACAAAGATAATTAAAAAATGGGAAATACTCTGTGCTTGGAGCCCTTATATCATAATTTATAACACATTTTTTCCAATAGATTTGGGCAAATGAATACTCTGTTTTGATACATCAATCTCAAACAAAGGTGGGCTCTGATGCAATTTTTCACTGTTCATTTCCCTGAACCTTTTGGGAGATAAAGAATCGTGAACAAATACTTAACAGCCTGATCAATAGCCATTGACCATTTGGAGCCCCTCATACCCTAACAAGCACAGCTTGATCATGTATATTTGATCATGTAAAATTTCAAAGCACCTTGATACAGCAGAGCTAGGCTTTCTATGACATCTTTGTGTTATTTCCTAAAGCACACATTTCCCATGATTTAGCCTTACCATTAATGGAAACTTATTGCACATATATTTGATGAAACTCAAGATCATGAATTTCGGTATTACATATCCACAGTATTTCATATGAATGGCAAATATAAAACACCATCCTAACATTTTAGGATAGGGAACTGTGGATGTGCCTATGGATTCAATGGACCCCAGAGTGCAAATCTAAAAAGCCCTATCATTATAAATCTTCCATTCCTGTTAAGTGTTGGCATGCACATTACACTGAGATGTCTTAAGTTTATTTTAGCGGAAAAATTGCAGTAAGAATCTTTCCCTTGATATCCTTTTAAATATATGTTCACATACGTATAAAATAAAAAATATTCATGTTCACAGCAGTGTTAGCCCTCAGCCTTAATAATATCATGGAAAGAGATAAAGATCTCAGCAAAAAATATTTACTGTAAAAAATTTCTTTGCAGAACTTTATTATTGTTCATAATTCCACATCCAATGTTTTTCATGCAGGAATTCGAGTTTATCATTAAAATATAACACTCATGCTACATTTGTATAGCTGCCTTTTCTGCTTATAATCATAATGTTTATTCTAACTTTCTAGGCTTATTATTTTAGACAGATATCAGTTTAATTAGCTTAAGCTGTCATACTCTAAAAAATACAGACGGGTTGCCTGGTTTGGGAGGAGGAAGGTGGCTGCAGATTTCAGAAGCAGAGACAGTTAATGCCTTGTACATTATTATGTAAACAGCAAAAGGACAAAAATAATTACCTGATAAACTTTCAATTTCTGACTCTCCCCTATATGCTTTCTGACCAATTTTTCTATAGAAAATCCATTCAAATTAGGCAAGTCCTCTAAATATCTGCAGCATCTGCTGGTTCAGACACCTTCCTTTATGCAGAGTACCATTTTCATATGATAATACATGTAATATGATATAGAATG